CTTAGTGAAGTGGGCGTGGTGCAGTAGGATCGAAATTGTGGCGTCGCGGCGAGAGGGACGCCGCCCGAGAGAATGTAGCAGAATGCAGCAGCAGACAAGAAATACGGAAACAAAAGGACCAACAGTAGAATCACGCCTAAAATAATGATCGCATACCGAATGAGCTGTGTGAAGAACGCAGCGAATGGTCCGCGACAGCCACGGGCGGTGAAATGATAACATAGAACCGACAGAACTGATCCTAGTGCCCGTCTCCCCACTGTAGCCAGGTGTACGCAATGGCACACACATTTGATCAGCTCGTCCAAATACTACTTCCATGCAACCTTCGTTGTCACATTCACATCCAACCCCTAATTTTGCTACTTTTTCATAGCTTTCTATTACACTAAGGACATAGGTGGTGTAGTGACAAGTGTCGCACTATTACACACGCCTGGTCACGGGTTCGAATCCCGGATCGGTACCGCTTAGGCCAAGCAAATCTCCCATCCCCCTGGGTCGGGTATTTAGTACCAGACTTGTCTGGGAGGATAAAATCACTGACTTGTACATCGTCTGGCCACCGCAAGTCATTGTGTAAGCCATATACGCATGCAACACGCCACTACGATTTTGAATGGAAGTCGAATGCGGAGGCAAACGCAACACAGACGTAGTTGATCCTAGGTAGAGCTTGCTGCCCTTCCACCTCTTCTGTGAATGAAGTAGTAAAAGTGAACAGTTTTGCGGTGGCAGGTATGGTGGTATGAGGAGGTTGATATGAGTTTCAAGGAAGTTGATCATTGATACTCGTTACTTCATGTAGGAGAAGTAGGGACCTATATGAATATGTCCGTTAGTTCTCCCTGAAGTTTTCCAGCAAAATATTTTGAATTTCTCTCGCTAGCGCAATAGCGTGGATTGAAGAATAAAGATCGAAGGCTCCATTCGTTTTTTCGAGGAAGGCATCGCTTTCGATGAAGCGTCTGGAGGAAGATAAACAAACCCTATGACTGTGGATAATTCTCGACATGTGTCCATAATGAAAGTGGAGATACAAGTTTGACTTCGATAGGATACCATTAAGAAGGAACTGCTAAAGATCACCTTCACTGAAGTTCAGTAGGTGGGATATTCCCATTACTGGCGACAAACCGCTCCTCAACAACAGCAACTTCCAAATTATATTTAAAAAAACTGAGGCTAAGTAGCAAGGGACAACTTTTTCCCCACATCAACTCGAATCTCTCCTCACCAAAGACTAGGCCGATTTACAGGACGAGCAAATGATGTCCTGAAGGCATATTATCTTGCCACCAAGCGCTACTCTAATAGCTTGGCACAATGCACCACCGCTTTTAGTGGTCCACAAATCAAGAAACTCAGTAAACCTCAGTGAAAAGTGTGTACAGCTCCCTTTTTCCTTTTCCAATATTCATGAGATGGTTCTCATTAACTTCTACAGGTTACCGGCGTAGTGTCCCATCACCGTCCTTTTATACAATTGCGTGGGGGCAGAATTTACGGAGCGTGGCATTCGAGAGTGGGCCGCGCAGAGAGAAAGGAACGCTGCCGAGGGTGCATGTCGTTTGCGCGATCCCTGCCATCGTGCAGCCCATTCGAAGCGGTTTGTGAGGTGGACAACTCGTCCAGTTGATCGAGCAACTAACCATCCAGCTGATAGAAGCCCGAACCAGGACGCCACAGTGATAGGCAGAATACAGCAGGTCCACAATGAGGCGTCTAATAGTTAGCGGCTCATCGATCGGGGTGGATGAACAGTGGGTTGTTCAATCACTGGACGAGTTGTACAGCTCGCAAACCGCGTCGAATGGGCGGCGCGATGGGAGGGATCGCGCTAGACGACCACCTCCCCGCTGCCGAGAATGTGTGGCAGGCGATTTGAAGGAGATGGAAAAGAATAGTTGTTTCAGAAGAACCACTGTATAAATTAGTGGAAGTGAAGTCGTAAAGTTGGCCACCCCTCATTCTCTGCGCTTCAGCGCTATATATTGGATAGGAGCGTTCTCCCCTGGAATGAGCAGAAACAGATAAAAGCATTGAAGGAGATCCTAGAAATCATCAATGTGCTAACAATAGCTTCCGACTTCGGATGAGTTTCGAACTTGTGCTACCGCTCGCGTGCACCGCACGTATCCATTACACTGCCCCGCCCTCATACATATTCTCACGCTTTCAGAGCACCCTTTCTGAGCCTGAGCGATTTGATCATCAAATGTGCCGATCCTCCTGCGTACATTATCAAAAACTAGCAGCTACGAGTGCAGCAGCGGACATCACCAAAGCTGAGAGAATTTCGACAGCGCTGCTGGAGAAAAGCCAATCTGGTTTTTAGTCGAAATTCAATCCAACTATGGTGTACACTCTAAAACGAAGAAACGGAAAGTGTAGGAATAGAAGATTTCACAGCGAATTTACTGCCTGCTTTTTTTTCACCAGCCATAACGTCCACCCATCGGCTCTCATTTTACATAGTTTCATTTCATGGGGAATACCGTTCAACTATTTCTTCAAGAGAATCACAAGCTTCGACTCACATCGTGTGACCACATAAACGAGAGAAAGCCACATCGGGCGGATGGGCAGCTTTCCCCAAAAAACCGCGTCGCGTCCCCCGCACCCAATCGCGCGCAGTTACGCGCTATTGCATACATCAACCAATTGGAAAGGCTGAGCATCGTGATGTAAGTGCCAAAAACGGAGAAGGGCAACTTAGATATTCATTACTGCCTTCAAGTACTCGACTACAGTTCGGAGGTAAAGATTTTGGCCCGTTAAAAGAACGTGAGTAAAGGTCGTAACAAACTGCTTATCGAATAATTCTATATCCGACCTCTTTCCACTTCCTTCATCAAGCTAGTGATTTCATAAACAACAACGACTTTCAGATAACATGAACTTCGTTGCTGCTTACAGGTAAGCCTGTTACAGCATAACGACTGGCAACAATATGTATCCAAAAATGAATGAACGATTTATCAAGCAAGTAATTATGAAGATTTCATCGTGAAGCTTATGCGTCCAATGGGTGGAATATTGCAGAAAAAATGAAACCACATATTTTTGCAATTAAAAATGATCACATTTAGACGTTAAAAATATACTGGTTCATGTACCTATCACATTTAGACGCTGGTAATATGTTTCATGTACAACGAATGTATATCATTATAAAGGATACAGCAATAGGAAATGTACAAAGAAAGGCCTACCAGAAACATTAGCAACCACGCAAAATACTAAAACATCATTCTACAGCCGTGCAATTCATGGTGTTCATACATAGGACAATGGAAAGAGGGAAAATTTCAAGAAAAACTTATCATTATACAGAACACGCTGCTTCACCACGAGCATGACTCAACAATGGCATCACTTCTGGAATAAAAAAAATCTTTTCACTTTACTAGAGAACATAAACTACTCTGTTGGGTAAAATGACCACGATTTGGTGATCGATCCCAGCGAAGACGTGAGCTTATTACTCCGGGAACGCAGTGATGGTTGCAATTCATCAAATTGTACTCACATTTGTAAGTAGAAACATAAAAAATCGCTAGCAAGGGCAGTGATGAGACGGCTCCAAGCAAACCCATGTTTTAAGCTGATACACAACTCATATACTGAAGAAACCCACAATACTTAGAACAGGTTTCGGTTACAATTCAACTGAAAGCTATGAATGATAACAACTACTTAATTCTTTTAGAATTTTGGGATTGCTTTACCCAAAAAAGTAAACTTTTAGTACGAAACCCGCCTGCCAGCTAAGTTACAAGAGAAAACTGCAGAAAGGGAAATGCCGTAGCTCATGGAACCTAGGCTACCGTAAAACCAAACAACCGCATAAGCCCACATACGTTCACGTGCGCACTATTAGACGGCCAAAATTCCAATTCAAGAAATGAGACAGATACGTAAATATGCAAAATCACTCACTTTGGGGGGCACAGATGGAGTCGGATGCTGAGCCGGCGTAGTAACAGGATTGTTGCTAGCTTTCCTTTGTTGTACCAATGCAGCAATATTATTCAAAACTTCTCCAGGTGCATATTGTCGTAACAATTGATTCTCATTTTCCAAAGAGGACACCTACAAAAAAGTAGAGACTGAACGTTGCATAGAAACTAATTATAGCTGCTATGATTGTCGCGAACATGAAAAAGAGCAGCAAGCACCTCTTTTCTTGACTTACTATCTTAATGACTTACCATGAAATGGAGCCAGTGGAACGAGCTGTGTAGAACTAGGCAATGTAAACATCATTGATGTTTACCCTGTTTACACAAACAAATCTGCATAAGATATGGAATACTATTTCAATAAATTATCACCTGTTCACTATTGGCTGCGTTCATAGTCCACGATTTGGCGAGCGACTGCTCGCGCGATCGGTCGCTCGCCAAATCGTGGACTATTAAAGCAGCCATTGTGGTTATTCAGTCGGAAACTGTTTCAACTACTAGACTATATCATAGATAGAGAAAAGATAAATCGATTATCATGCAACTCGTACTTACATAAGTGACGCACCTACTGTTTAGCTGTACTAATGTTTTCGCTTCTACTGAAAATGTACATAAAGGCCGAAGACATACGTGAATGTAGATTAGACCCAGCAAATCTTAACAACATGGCGCTATAATTGAAGCAGAATTCTAAAGAGATAAGATAGGTAAAGTATCGCATACTAAAGCTCTATTTGAAATGTATGAAACAGCAAAAATTAGGGGCCACAAAACAGCAAAGTCTCAATATTCGCAAAGTTATGGTAATTGCCAGAAACACATTTGCTGCATTAAGATAAAGATGTGGAAAGCATCGAACTTCTCAGTGCTTAAACTTTTTAAAGCCATTTTTGGTACCTTTCGTCAAAGATTGCACTATGTTGCTTCGACAGAAGGAGGGACATACTTCACATACCATATCACAATCACGGAAATCTACTGAAAAGAAGTAGAAACCATTTGACGCTGTTCTATTTTCTTAGAAAACATTCCCATCAGCTAAACTCGTAATTTTGCACGTTCAACCATCAATCGAACGCACATTGCATCATTGTTTTCGAAAGAAAAAGGCGATAAATAGATTGATGAAGCGCCCAGAGAGAAAAATAAAGGGAAACGGAAACTAATAAAAAAAAGTTAAAGCAGTAAATAAAAAGGAATTCCTACCCTCTGTTCTAGTTCAGCAATGGTCTGTCGCAGGACCTCGACTTCTTCACGAACAGCGAAGGTAAGATGGGTTTTTACCAAATCCTGAATTATTTATTTATTTATTTATTTATTTATTTATGCACTCGTAGGTGCACTTATTACAGAACTTCACTAGTTGGATAACCTAGTTAGATAACGTAACATACTAACTGCAGAAGCAAAGTTGCCAGTGCGATGTCTATGACTTCAGTCCGAATTAGGTAATATCATTAACAGGAAACACTGAGTTCTCAACCTATGACAATGGAAAATCCCCCCCCCCCCCCCCCCCCTCTCTACTCTCGGAACGAAACTTTTGATAAACTTCATTTTACTTAAATGTGCGGCGTTAAACCTAGGTGACCTAGGTGAACACAACAGGGACGGTTTTGCCACTGCGATGACCATGATATGCTATTCAGTCCACTTCATTCATCGAATTTGTCCATTTCTCCTCCAAATTATTAACATTCAGCAAGAGATAATGCAATTGCCTACCACCAGGTCAAATATGAAGGTTGCACAGTGTAATGCTGAGCAGACGTTCCGAACATGAGACCTGCGGGGTGCCCTGATTCTTGCCTACTTCCCAACTTGGTTGAGGATCAATGTTGTGACTAATAAGAATCCAGCTAGCTAATCCATGACAACCAAGTAAGTTTTACAACTTCCGGTATGTAGCAAAGCCTTAACCATACTGCTAAGAGTGTTACTATGTTGTGATTAGAGGACTGAAAAACTTTAGTGTAGGTTCGATCTGATATGAAGCCCGAAATGAAAATAAAAAAGCAGAGTCCCAAGCATCTTCCGCCCTTAGTCACTGAGGAAGGCAAAAAGGCGAAACGATAGTCAAATAATTCTGTTTCAACCTAGTTGGAGCTTCACAAACACATTCACAACAACTGAATCAAGTCCTTCCAAAACAATTTGGTTCCTCCGATATTCAGTAATACTCGATCCGTATACCAAGGCAGACGCGCTGCGTTATGGTTTCAGTATCAGAAGCTATTTCAAGACGTGTTATGTACCATTCAAACGGGAATTGAGATAGGCATGAAGTCGATGGGAAATAAGCAATTAATTTTTGCCTCTCTCCATACCTTTTTTCTTCAAGGAGCGGTTTCAGTCAGACTGGGCAATGAGCAAAAAATAACATGCTGTGTCAAGAATAACCTACCATTGCCTGCTCGATCTTATTGTCAATTGCTACCACATTAGGAGCCGCTACCGGCGCACCGTTTCCAGATGGTGGGCTGAAAAGAAAAACAGTACGAATTACATAACACAGCTGCTTCATTGGGAAAATCTATAGAGATACAAAATGCCTTCAAATCGAACAAATAGCCGAGTATAAACTCAACAGAAGAGTCATTCACTGAGCGACCTGTGCGACTGCATTGATCGCCGTACTAAAGCTTGTTCAAGTTCTTTTGAAAAATTTAGTTTAGCCAGGTATTTAAAATAATCAATTAATTAACAACAGTACAAGAATCAATACTTACATTTCCTCTTCTACCGGCGAATTCGCTCCCGTTGATGTACCTTGAGCAACAGCAAACTGAAATGTTCGCTGATATGAGAAAGAACGAATATTTACAAATCTACAACTACTTTTGGTAGGCTGTTTACTTGTCAGCATAATATTCAAGGAATCTGTCCATGACTGAGACCTCAAGCTACTTGGGCAATTACAGTGAGTGTCATAATATGAAATACTACGAATTGCACAATAAATGTTTATATATAGTAAATCCCTGTTCCCAGTCACCAAAAGCAACAGCTATCAATTTTAAAGTTAGTTGAATGATTTCAGTCCAACTGAACTCTCAAGTCTATATCTACCTGAAAAATCAGTGAAAAGATTGGAGAAAAATTGAATAACGATCATATCTATTGTTCCTTAAAGAGAAGACACCATTTGGCGGTACCCATCTTCCCTGAGTGCATGGAAGATATATCCGAGGGCTGTATTCAGAGAGAATATTCAGGAGAGCTGTACAAATGAGTTCAATTTCCGGTTCATTCCTGGTCAAAAGAACTTCAAACAGATGATGGAAAATGGCATTGTAACAAAAAACCCTCTCTGATTGAATTCGAATCAAGCCCTGAAGCCTTTTTAGGGGGTTTTTACAAAAACCGCTGATATTAAAGCATTTTATGACAAAGTAGAACCTTGCGAAACCCCTTCTCTTATAAATCCTCTATTACATGTTCATTTTCTACGCGAAGACAATAAAAAACTTCCAAAAATAATCAAACTAAACCCAAAAAACAAAGCAGGCATTGAAAAAATGGAGCATATCGATTAGCGGGAAGGCGGGCCAAAATCCGAAAATGGTAACATTTTGAAGTCGCGAGACTACTAAAAAAGACTTGCCGCAGCGTCTTATTGAACGTGGGTATACGGGGAGAGGTTTCGATTTCACTACAAGACCCATTTTTGACGGATCCGCCACAAGAATCAACAACCGGCGCAACAAAATAACAATAAATTTAAATAAAAAAGAAAAAAACAGTAATAAAACAAAGCAAAAAAGTTGAGCAATAAATCCGTGAGGCTTTAATTTTTTCCAGAGCGTAAACTATCACTGGATTGTAACAAGGAACAATTTCAGATAATTTTCCAATCCCCACACTGCCTGATCTTCAGAACATTAAGCATAGAAAACGCGACAGATGCCGATGTATCGAATATGTGATATGTCTCAGCCATCTACAATTTTACACAAGCTTTAAACGGAGAAGAAAAAACACCGATATATTAAATCGAGTCAGGCGTGGTATGATAAATCCGTAATAAAAGCCCATAACTGGCCCTCCAGGAAGAATGGTGTGACATTCAGCTACCTAGGGTCATTTTCACAAAAGAATCGGTTGATATAATGGATGACTTGCTTGCCTGGAATTTTATGATAGGTTACTTAAGGAATCATATAGCAGGTGGAGAATGCCATAAAGGAGTAATTCGAAATAAAAAATCTGGCATAGCGATGGGTTCAGAGAAGAGCCAAACAGTAGGGGTAAAACAGGCAAAGTTCCACATCATCATGCTTGTCCCTGCATAGCTGTTATGAAAAGTCATAGTCATCCAATATGGCCAAGGAACTAAATATTAATATATTTTATGGTATGACTCAAAGAAAACTTGCAGGAAGGAGCTGAAATGCTCGGCATGAGTAATCTTCCTAACGTCTTGTTCAAAACAACCTTTAAGGCTTTTTAAATGAGGAAGGAGGCATCGTGATCCTCAAAAAATTGACTGAAGACAAATTCTTCCTAAGTAACACTTCCGTCTTATAGATTTCAAGTCCCAGATCCACAAAGCAATTCCTCGACCGATTAGGTCTCCATGTATTTCAAATTATTCAAATATTTTTATGCGATTTCAAAATAGGAGCCGAACAGGTCTGAACAACCACAACCGCTAGGACGTGCTTTGCAACGTTTGTCTAAGAAATTTGGGGTACACTCCCTTATTTCTCAGACAAGGGAATGTCGCCAGTTAGTGGGGCCCAGTGGCTTTCATTCGTCAAAAGCAAACATTTTTTTGACATTTTCTTGGCACATTTGTGAGGAGCTTGGGCAGCGAATTATGAGAAAAGTCTACGACGTTTTTTTATTAAAGCTATACTCTTTATGCTCTTGGCTGCAACCTGAGCTCGAGTGGAGACATGTTAGAGCTTTTCATTGCACATTAGTTGATCGTCATAACTTCGAGGTGAATCATATGATTAGGTTACAACATTGCGTATAACTTTCAGGTCTACGCATAAATCGAAACGACACAGAAGATGAAAAAAAGCGAAAAATCAAATATGGAGATATGCAAAATCCAGAGAAGCTCAGCCTAATTACAAGGTCTCTCTACACACGTCTACCTCAGATATCATCAGTGGGGCAGTGGTACATAGATTAAAGGGCGAATTGTATTCGCCTTGCTACTCACACTTATCAGTTAATTTACTGCTTCAAATATGTTACTTATATTTACTTAATGTGTTACTTATACTTATATTTACTCAAATATGTTACTTATATTTACTTATTTATTTATTTACCTATATTTAGCCACTTTAGTCCTCCGAAATTGCAATAATTTCCCAACCCTTACTCCCAGCCTAATGTCCTTACCCACGGCCACTGTGACGAGTGGATAGAGACGTTTTGTACGGAACATGGATGATGAGGTAGCCCCTTGTATCGGCTGCTTTTATAGTCCACGATTTGGCCCGCGAGTGGTAGCAGCGACTGGTCGCGGGCCAAATTGTGGACTATGAAAGCAGCCCCTGCTGACGCTACACAATTGCGACTGCTACCGTGGGTAAAAATAAATGCGACCTTTCAAAAACATTTTTGATGAAGTAGCTTATGTAGATTCAGCTCTCTTTCGGGTGACCGAAACAAGAGAACTTTCTATTGCAATGGAGATCTTCTCCTACAGTGATACTTTTAGATTCTAGAGGTCGCAGACACCGTGATGACACCTGTGGGAGCCTTCAAAAAGACGCCTCGAAGTAACTCATAAAAGGGTTGCTTGTCCAAATAATAAAACTTCGGCTGCGACTGAATATATCTGTGGATTCGTGAAATCTCAGTGTAAGAAGAATGCAATGGCAACGAAGGAGTTACCAGGATTAGCAGAAACAGGCCTTATCCATATATTCAGTAATGAAAAATTAGAAAAAAAATCAAGCAAACGCAACTTGACTTGACTGTAACGGTTGCGGATTATGAGTACAAAAAAGTGATTCTTCCTCAGATAAGAACTTGTTGAAACAAACAGTTCAAAGAAGATTAACGTACCTGAGCAGTATGGAGACACTCTGTATCCAGAGGAGACATCTGAAAAATGCCGAAAGCTGCTGATGAGAAAAGAGAAAGACCGGAGTACCTATCGCTTAAACGAAAGTATATAAGATGCGTCAAGCGTCAGAATGGGTTATATTTGATGCGAGAAAATTTTCCAATCGAAATGAGCAAAACTGAAGGTCCTGAGGACGAAGCTAAATCATACCTAGCGTCTCAGTTGTCACACACTCGAAAATCAAGCTAAATTCAGCCAAATAGATCCAACATCTCACCACTACAGGCAAAATATAAACACTACGGAAAAAAGTGAAAGCTATTAGAATAACGATAAGCTGGAATGGGTAAAGCACAAGGCAACGGTGGCAAACGAAATTTTGTACGAACTGAAATAGCAGCACAATAATCACAGACCATTCATTTTCACAACCTTTTGTGTAATCGAAAAACTCGTTTTGGACCGACTTCGACAGTGAAAAAATAGGGCAAAATATCAGCAAGTATGTGGGAAAAAAATGAGATGAGACCTTGCTTTACAAGTAGACAGAGAAAGTAAAATACTAGTACACAGCTAAAAGCTTCGAAATCACTGAAGTACTGAACCTTCTGTCTATCAGTTTGACCCTCGTGCACGATATGTTTACAGCTTTCACAACAGAAGGACTAAAAATTTCTGCAGCAACCAGCCTGCATTGCCTACCTGGGAGAACTACACCCGGATAATAGCTACATTATTTTCGGTTACAAGCTAAGAAAGATAAATTGAGGTGGTGAGGCACAAAGTTTCAGGAAGGGTCCCTTCGCATGCATTAGTGCGCTGGCTAAGATTCCCCATGATGCAGTCACCCGTTCTTCCGTTCTGTTGTGTTGAGAGTTATCGGGTTCGTTAGTCAGAAATGTACTTATTCGATAAGTCCAGTCCAGCTTTTAAAGCTTTTTATCGATCAGAAATGAAGCTTCTCGTCTTAAAAGCAATTTTACCAGTAATTGAAAAATTCTTAAGCGCAAACTTGAATGAGCATCCCTCAATCGCATTTATTACTACTACTGTCAGCAAAGCTTGACAGCGGGTAATAAGAGCGATTAAGTTAGTGAGAAAAGGCATCACTCCCCCAGCTGTGAGAATTTATAAAGCAGTGCAGCAATTTCAGTGTTACGGAAGTAATTAAATTCTTTTCTTATTAAATCTATCAAAAATGAATGTCCATTGTTTACCCACCACTTCCGAGACAGCATGGTTTATGGATTACTTTTGAGACCTGTCAGAGTAGAAATAATGCAATTGCTTGAAATGAGATATCACTGATCATCAAATTGCTTAGGCTACTCATCCATAGAAAGAACGGCATCGAAAAATCCATTTTTTACGGTTCTTTATGCATACTTGAACATAATTGCGGATGAACTTAACAGCCCAATGGGCTACAATGTAATTGGGACGCCTGCAAAATAAAGAATGATGCAACAGAGCATCCTTCCCTCTTCTCTTCCCTTGGGAAAGGCGCACTCATGCAGCCCCGATAACAAGAAACTGCGCAACGGTTCCTGGTCCAAAATTCCAATAAAGACTTCTAAGAATGCATGTTTCACAACAGTCAACACAATAAAGCAACACTTTAGTTATCCCACTCTAATAGAAGGCCTTAATTGAATCGATAACGAGGAAAACACAATGCAACAGTCTTAAAGATCTTTTTTTTTTCGAGAGCGAGGAAACGCAGTTTTTTTTTCAGATACCTCTAAGAAAAAGCGAGCCCCGAAGATCATTGATTTACAGCGTTGAGATAAGAAGCAACAGGCATGAAAACTGAGGGTCAAAGATGGCGACTACTTGCGGCTGTCCAATATGTGTCTATCACAATGTCAAAGAGGAGTATTAATGTCCACAAAATTAAGTACACAAGTATGCATCATCGATTGCGGGTCTCTTATACAAATACAGCATGAATTAAGACGAAAAACCTGTTCCTGACCATCTTCGTTGGTGCAAATGACTATACCCGTGCCCATAATTACAACACATTTTGACTAAACACATTAAAACACCATATAGTATCAGAAAGAAAAAAGTCAGTTTTCTGCAGCAAACTACTTCTACGGTTTACGCTCGCTCAGTTCGCCTACTCCTACACTCCATACTCAGTACATAAGCGTCCGTATACGTACGTGCAAATGATGGCACCAGTGTTCACGTAAGTAGTCCTCGTTAGAGATAAGGAACTTGTCCTGACACTTACTTAACTTAGATTGGCGAAGAGAATTTGACTCAACTTAAAGGCACAGTTCATGATGAAAATGGTTCCTGAAATGAGATTCTCCCCTAAGATAAACCTGTGCCCTTCAAGTATAGCATGGGTTTCGACAGACCATCAAAACCGATTTGGCCGACGTTCACACCCAGAACCGGCCTCGCTACGACGGCACCGACGAAGAGTGCGCTTATGTAGGAGACAACCAGACGGTTACGGACACATAATCTCGTACAACCACCTTTCCTGCTACTTGTTCGAATCTAATGTCTTAAAATCTTGCGATTTTCGCATTTTCTTTTCGAAATTTTTGCACTTTTCAGCACCATGTGTTCCACTATTACGCTCATGTAAATACCGCAGAATTATCGTGAAGTGTGCCTTTGCGCTAAGTAGTCTCTTAAGAGCTAAGGGACTTGTAATGGCACTCAGTTAACTTATGCTGACAAATAAAATTTGACTTAATAAATAGTTTACTTTGAATCGCCATATTGGAAGCTTATCCGTTAAATAAGTATTGAAGGAAAAGTGAATTCAAATCAGAATGGAAATGAAAAAAAGTACAATAATTCAATTTTGCTATAGTTATAACCAAAAAAGAAGGTTCTTAAATGGAGTTATTTTCAATGTTCGAAAACTTATTTCGACCTTCTCGTTTTCTAGGGAAGCCTAAGGATTCAGCAAATCCTCAGCTCACGCACGATTTCTGCTAATGGTTTTAGTGCGGGTGGGTGAGGGGTACCCTAACATTTCAGTAAAAGATGCTTGTTAATTCTATGCATAAGTAACGGAACCATCCACAGAGTAAACCACAATCCCGTGGCAAAGTACGTAAGGGTTCCATATGGTAACATGTTCAATAAAAGCAAGTGAAAATGACAAATAATGTCAAATAAGAGATTAAGAGTGTTTCACAAGAGATGACATGAATTTGACTGAAATTCCTTCCAATTCGTAACATAGATTTTGAGAACATAATGAATTACTCCTACAATTACATTTCAGCATGTTTTACGTCAGTGCAATCAGAAAAACATTTATAATAATCAAAACAGCTTCAATGTTTCATGGAGCGACTTCTTAACGCTTCGAAATCACTGATCTCTTAAAGCTTCACAATTACTACACATCTAGTTAAGGCTACATCACCTAATCATTCACCACTTCATCCCATGCTTTTATGTTCACGCTTTACCCATCTCAACTATTTCAAAATATGCATTGGGGAAAGCCGAGTGCTAGTTTCTCACGGAATCAACGGAATCACTTCGAAATAAAAAGATATAAAATTGAAGTAAAGCGATAAAGCGATACTCACTATGATTGAATAAGATTACCCCCCNTCCCCCCCCCCCCCCCCCCCCCCCCTATCTATTGACATGAAAAAAGCTTGATATCCGCCCTCCTCCCAAAAATAATTGCAAGTGCAACAATACTTTTATTATATAATTAAAAACCTGATTTGGGTTTCTGTAATATTTCTGTAATATTATAGTTTTCTAAACATTAATAGTAAACGACGGTTTAAGACTCTCCCTATCCAGAGCACTGCGTACTAGTTCAATCCCTTGGATTAAGAGTAGTAAGTTCTCGCATTGAAAAAGGAACACAACAGTACATGCTTGAGAAAAAGTAAATTTACTAGCGAGTAAATATTATTGGAAAATGTTACCAACTGACCTTTGGTAGATTTCCTCTTTCAAGCTCACGAATAGCTCGTTCCGTTGCTTCAGCATGATGATTGTTATGTTGAGGTGTCGGTGGAGCCGGGGCGATAGAAGTCACAACAATCGTTGATGATTCCTTCTAAATCACTTGCATATGTGAATATAATAGAATCAGTAAGCGCGTGCAGAGGACGGGAACGCATTATTTCATTCCCGACTCAGATGTGAATTGGTGCAGCCCAAGAATTGGTAATAAAACAGTTGAGAAGCTACTTTTATTGAAAAAGGTAGTACATGCCAGTTCAGGCAAAGCTACACCGAAAGTGAGATGAGAAAGCTACAACTTCGAAAAACATATAATTATTGCTTACTTGACTGTAAGAGTTTGGAATTAAGAGTTAGACTTCTCTAACGTCCAGCTCGTTCACTTCACACTCCACTCAAAAATGAAACTAACCAAAGGAGAAGGGATCGGATCAGTCGCTGGAGCTGACTCAGGTACGGGTTTCACCTCTGTTGGTCTCTCATGCGACGACTGAGATGGCTTTTCCACCGCATTAGCAGGTTCTCCTCCTCCTTAAACATGTTTTTAAGGCTGTGCATGGCAATGAGACAACTTCAAGCACAATAAGGCCGCCACTAAAACAAAATTACAGACCTTCTCCCCGTTCTCGTATATCGGTAAAATCAAGAATTTGGTCGCGAGAGTCAGGGTGATCATCTTCGCGATAATCACGACATTTCCACCGACCACGAGTGAAAACCCCAGGTACGGGCACGACCTGGAATTATTTTTATATTGCTCACAACAAGTATCTTATTACAGCCAACCGATTTCTTACACATAAATGAAGATCACACTGAACTAAGGAGTACTGGACACGAATACCTCATGCCATTCTTCCAAGGAAAGCATGAAACAATCATATCCAGCATTCCTTACTTTAACGAGACCAATCATGGAGAGTTTCAGTTCAGGCGAGTCTATGTCTCTCCACCCCTCCGTCTACTCACCATGAACTATCGAGTTGGCGACGGTTCCCAAGTAAGACACAGGAAAACAAACAAGAACAATCCATTGGCAAGAACCCGGTTCTCCCATTGGCTGGTTTCAGACTTCGACGACCGTCCGTCCGTCCGTCTGTCCGTTCAACGCGTGCGCGACGGCAGTCGCGTGCGTGCCGCGCCGGCAGTTCTAGAAAAGGTGTTGACGGCGCCGAATATCGATCAGACGCTGTCAACACCTTTCTAGAACCGCCGGCGCAACACGCACGCGACCTCCGTTGTGCACGCGTTGAACGGACGGACGGATAAATCGTTGAACTCTGAAAGCAGCCATTAACTTTGTTGTGGAATAAATAATGTGGACACAAAACTTTACAGACAACACACTTCATTTCACGACACAACTCCATTTCAGTGAACACATCCTCATTCCGTAACATAAAGGACAACCAAAAAAAGATATTGGACAATCTGATGGGTCAAAAGTTGAAGCAATTACCTGACTACGTTGCATCAATACCAAGCGTTCGCACCACAGCCGAGTAACTGTAGGAATTGGGGACCCGTGCCGCTTCATAGTCAAGAAAGTCCGAAAAGAATGTTTTGACACTGTGGACCCATTCACCTAACGAAAGCGGGCTCCTGCTTCTATACCAGACTAACTGAATCGAGTTAGTCCGAAGATGAAGACGTGTCAATTCCGTGACGGTATCCTATGCTGACCAAACTACGCCGGCTACGTGTATATTCGCCCAGTTCTGGATGGACGCGTCAAACTGCGCAACGATTCGTGGTGATTTTAACGACTCTGGCAACTATCATTGGGGCACAAATTTGAAATAGGGAACATAAGTTGCATCATATGACCTTACTTATCCAATCTACTTAAAGCTTGTGCCCAATGATAAGGGCCAGGGTCGTTTAAATCACCACAAATTTCGCTGCGCAGCTTGTTGCATCAACCCAGAATTTGACGAATGTTCCGTCCCCCATTTATGCCAAGCCGTAGACATGCAAGTATGCCAGCGAAACATGGCATGGAACAAATTCCTTCTTTACGAACTCGGCCAGGCAGGATTCCGTTCTTACAAACAGATTCTTGGCAACAAAGGTTCACGTTGAGCTTTGCGGACTACGACATACGAAGCAGCAGAAGATCAGAAAGTAGTAAATCCTACAGAGGCTTCAACTCGTAATATACTTTTTACTTATTTGCTACATACTTAAATGATGAAAGAAGTAACGAATGCATCACAGTGCCATGACAAATAGATAGATCTAACTATCCAATCGAGCCGAACACGAGAACTCGATTAAACAGACCTACTTAGAGAAGAGTTCGATTGTCGATATTTCCAAAATTTTGTAGAAAATCTTAGTGATTCATGAAGTAAATGAAAAAAGGCTTGACTAACAAGGTCTTTGCTTTCTTTTACGATTGGGCGCACAATCGATCCAATCCGCGCTACAAAACGAGTGAACTCGTGAATCCCGGAAACTGAATTGAGTTGAAATTTTGGATCCATTAACGAAAAATTCCGTATTTTAATCGGATAATAATTCATCTCATCCAATTATCGTGAGCTAGTTCTTACGAACAGGCTTTACTTTATTCAAGTATTTGGCCTACAAAAAGCCGCAGTTCAATTATTCGAGTTGTACAACTATAATACAACAGGGACCGCTCATGTCCAACATCCACGTTAGCGCGCAGAGAGGGAGGATTAGCCGGCCTTACTCGCGTTCAGAGGTAAGATGATTACCTCATGCAAAAAGCTGGGATGGGGCAAATCGGACATTCAGTTAACTCTTTCAACATTACAGTCCTTCCCTCCTGAAACATCAGTTAAAAAAGTTGTGGTCCTGCGAAGTCGACTAACTGGCCCTTGGCTCAGTACTGATACTTCGTAAAGCGTGACAAATTCAAATCTATTCAGGTATGCAATCTAGCAGTACAATCAGTAGATGCTTTCAGAGTTCAACGACGTGCACTGCTTCACCGATCGACCGATCGACCGGCCGGCCAAAACGTTGCTGGCCACTTTTTGACAATGCAGGACAGAGATTGCATTCAGGGTAGCGGGCGGGTATTCATTGGTCCAGTGTTGTCAACACGTCGCCAGCAACGCCGTCGGTCGGTCGGTCGGTGAAATAATGCACGACGCCAAACTCTGATACCACACTGTTACGTTGAACGGAAAACAAAATACAAAAAAGACAAATATAACATAAGCGACTGTTCTGCAAACCTCACCATAGACATCTATCAAGGGAAAAGCTAGACTAAAAGGGTCTTTTCCAACTGAAGACGACTGATGTGCTTTCAACAAGATCCTTTTTAATGAGAAAAAGGAATTTAATACCAAGACTGCAAGTTCTGGTGAGAACTTCCCCATCATAATATTGTAGATACATCAGTGTCATAATAAAAACATACGTGAAACTGCCTTTCTCTTGGTACTCTTACAGTGGTAGCCATTCCTGCTGATTTAGCCACTATACCATAGTCGGAACAACCCATTGAAGATCAAACATTCAACATTTTGGTGCTGAATCAGGATAGCACAAATGCGTCTTACAAAACTGAAAATGAGCTCATACACCAATATTACGATGAAATTACGCGTCGATCAGGAAAATCAAAAGCAATACAGTAATCTACGTATCTATATGCATATATATCAAAATGGTCAAACGAACAGAAGTAACTGGGAAAATCCATATCATATTCGTCAGCCTGAAGCATAAGAATTAGGAACGCAGAAAAAGAGGGGCAGCCAAGTGTCGCGACGCGCGTCGGCTGGAGCGCATTACCGTCAGCAATACTGGTAGGAAACAAAATTCTATTATCGTAATTTCAGTGACAACTATAAAGTACTATCAAAACCTACACATTTGGATTGAGCGACTCCTTCATACAGGGAATTTTTGAAAATGGAAAAATTGTGACGCTCAACGAAATTTTCGAAATACGGCATAGTTAGGGAGACGCTGACAGCCTCTAGTCACTTCAAAAGTAGCATTATAGGGTTTTCCCGCCCAGTTTGTAAACGTTGAGGTAGTTTTGTAAAATGCGACCAATTTTGTAGTTTTTCCATTCTATTTAGTATATTTCGCAATGGGTTTCGTACTGGCGAACCACGTTACGTAAACTTTGCAATCAATTTTATATTTGCATTCAATCTCGTAAATATGGACGTGAACATCATATATGCCTTTACATATACCTACTCAAATTGTTTTATTCTTTATTCCTTTCGTACTTTACATTTCCATTTACTATTTACATTTTTTCCATTAACATCTGCATTTTTTATTTTTTATTCCATTCATACATTCGAAAATTCTGACAACTTTACTCAGGAAGTTAATTGGATGAAATAATTACATCAAAGTATTAGTACAGCTAGTATTACCGATGTGTGACCGCTTCTCTACTCAAACAACGCGTGACGTGGCCCATTATGTTCCTAAGAAATGAACGCAGACCATATTCGCCGCGAAACCTATCGTTCCAGCAAACGCGATCCGCTCTGCGGTGTCGCGCGTCGCACATATTCTTTTCATTTCCAGCGAGTGTTCTGTGTGGGATCGAAAATGGCGGGTTAAATGGTAGAAACAACACGTGATGACATTTGTTCTCAATCTGACCCTTCACCTCTTGAACTCAAAGAGTAAAACATTCCCCACTCAAAGAGTAAAACATGCCCCATCACCAAAACGGCGTTTCCGATGCGTTGAAGCCGTGTATTCTCGGTGTTTTTGCGTTATAGTGTAGGGCGGAGGTGGTGTAGTGGCTAGTGGCGCACTATATCACACGCACGGTCAGGGGTTCGAATCTCGGATCGATGCCCGCCTGGGCTAACCAAGCCCTCCATCCCCCCGGGGTCGGTTAATTGGTACCAGGCTTGTCTGGGAGAATAAAAGCACTGACTTGCACATCGTCTGGCCACCGCAAGTCATTGTATAGGCCACATACGCACTCATTACGCCACTACGATTCTGAATGGAAGTCGAGTGCGGGGGCACATCCCTCAGACGGGATTGATTAACGCCAAAAACTTTATCCTTTATCCTTTTTATTCTCAGTGTATGGTGGATCACTTGCTGACAGTTCATGGCACGACTTATAGAGATATTTCTCGTCCGGAGCCCTTGCGCTACTTGCACTGCTGGCGTTTTTCGTAGTGATCCGCTCTCATCAAGCCTCATCTCGCGCGCATGGCTATGCTGAACCCAACTTCGTCAAATAGAAGAACTGCTTTCAGCGACATTGGTAGAGAGTTCTTCGAACAAAGAACCTCTCTTATCTTGATTTGCCTCGATAGTCTCTATATCGTTGCGCCGGGCTGGTTGAAGTTCGCTTGATAATGTAGGAAAATCCATGGTGAACGTAGACGTACACTTCTCTTTGAGATTCCGAGAACTGATGCTGTAGTCGTCGTCTGCTCAGCTCTTGGTGACTTGCTTCTCATCCTATGTGAACTTGAGACCTCCATTTCTAAAGCGGGCTTAGCTAGAACCCTGTCCGAAGGGATAGGCATCGGTGAATTCTTGTCGTTCGAAATCAGCAACCGCGTTGTACTTCTCTCGCATTGTGAGCATCGCTATTGTTTGGTCAAAGTCGCATTACACGTAACAACGAACGAGATAGGTCTGGTTGGGGAAACTTCCTAGATGGGCACGTTTGAGCCGTGCAAGGGTTTTGCGGTTTGAAGTATTTTACCGCGCGCAGGTATTCGAATGCAACATTGAACAAACGGGGGACGGTAAACTCGTGCGATTCGAACTGCGCGCGGAAAATTGCGCGGCGAAATTCATAGCGATTTTGACGGCTTTAGCGCCTATTATAGCGGCACAAATTTGAAGTAGAATAGATCAGTAGGATCAGCTGACCTAATACTAATCTACACCATTTCAAGTTTGTGCACCAATAATAGGCGCCAGAGTTGTTCAAATCAAAACGGATTTCGCCGCGCGATTGCCGCTAGCAGTTCGAATCGCACGTACAGTAGCGCTCGAAAGTCTTCGGTGAAATACTTCTTCAGTCATACTTTTCAGTCGTAACTCCTCTCCTACTGGATCTAATCATGCGAAATTTCTATATTTTGAGCGTGGGTGTATTGTGAATATTTACCACTATTAACCTGCAATCTGGTCATGTTCCGGATATCCCAAAGGGCTTGGACTCAAAATGAACTGGAAATACAAACATTGCTCATTCTAGGACTTCTTCCCTTTTCGTCATGTCCAAGGTGTACGAGCGCTAATTCCGAACATAGTAGATTAGAAAAACGCACATAAGTCTTAAATAACTGCAGACGTCACTAACTTTGCTTTTAGCGAAATCTGCTGCTGCAAAAACATCTTATTCTAATTATGTGGATATTGCAGGTTTGCAGTCAAATAGCGTTGGATAGTGTGAAATATGCCTTAGTTAAACATATCAAAATTTGGTGCGATTTGCTCCACTAAGGAAAAATTTATGAACGAAAAAGCGCGGAAGCGTTTGACCGAACACTTTTGAGCGCTACTGTATGTATACACACCCAGAACGCGCCATTGAGAAATGAATAAGATCTGCTCATAGAAGAATCAGCGTGAAGTAGATAAGGCGTGTCGAGTTCCTTTCTATGTAGAGATTAGAGGAATTAGAAAATAAGGCAGTAAAGCGTGAATTAAAGAAGGTTCACGTTAAGAACATGCAAAACTGCATCGGCACCTACGCTGTATTCAAATGTTCGCGCGCGGAAAACACTTCAAACCGAAGAACCCTTGCACATTCCAAACGTGGGTGAAAATGTAGTTGGTAGGGGCCACGCGGCGGCGCGACACTTTCCTCGTCTGGCGCTCTCCCTAGCGAGATAGTAGTGGGCCTGAGTCTGGGAAGGAATGGTGAGGTTGTACTTTTGTGTTTCGAAATTTGGAACAAACTAACTCTTGACGCATGTTGATATGTTTGCATATGATGGATACTCTTCTTCTGAGCCGATAAAACCTATTTTTTAAGGAAGGGAGGGGCTCCGGGGTGGGTGAGATGGTTATCTCGTGCAAAAAGCTGGGATGAGATAAAAGTTGAACGTCCAATTGGCTCACCCACCCCGGAGCCCCTCCCCTTCCTAAAATTGGGTGAAAAATACACAGTTATAACACAAAAAAGCTATGACGCCCCTAAACACCATAATGGGCTCGACTACTCTTCCTTCTCTACTACCTCGCTGGGAAGAGCGCCAGACGAGGAAAGTGCCGCGCCGCCGCGTGCCCCCCCCCCCCCCCCCCCCC